AGAAAGCCACTGCAGTGCATTGGATCCTCCTGATGTTAATGCAGACATACACAGGTCCAGCCATACATCCATACAGGAGGAGAGTATGTCCTATGTTAGAACCATACAAATAGACAGCAGACTGTGCATACCACTCTACATAACTACATTTAACGAACAGTGACATCATCTCCCTGATCTAGGATCTGTCTGTCTCTGAGCTCCTCTGGAAGGCAAACAAGGATGTTGGTAAGACACCACACATGTCCACATTTTTTTATATATTTTTATGCGATAGATGGAACAGTGTACACTGATAAACATTGCTGTAAATTGAATCTGTAGCTCTGTACACATGTTACAAAGTCATCCTGACAAACAATATAAGAAGTGACAAACTATTGAAATCATTTATGATCATGCAGAACATTAATAAACATGCAAAGTGGAAGTGTACAGTACACAGACATAAAAGCACCAGTGGTGGAATATACAACTGTATATAAAATAGTCAAAACTAGCTCCACCTCAACCAGCTGTGAAATGTTGCCAGTATACCAGGAACAGGGGCAAATGTACTTTTAATACTAAATAAAAAAATTTATTTAGCTGATTATACTTTTACTGAAGAAGGATTTTAAACACAGGACTTTTACTTGTATTCTGTTACGTATAAAAGTCTTTCAAGTTCTTTGACGTTGTGGTATTTTTACTTAAGATCTGAAGACTTCTACCACCACTGAAAAACACACACACACAGTAAATGAAATCCATAAATCACACAATAACAGACATGCATAAGGACTAACATGGTGATAGCAGGATAGCTATAGATTATAATGCCAGAAGTGTATTCACACGCCTGTCCTCCTTCTGTTTTACATGGTTTGGACCTCTTTGTTCCAGTTAAGGGAAATCTTCATTCACAGTTATTTTAGACATTAGTTTAAGGATTCGTCTGTTGGTTCTGGACCTGATCCAGATATCCTGTTGGTGGCAAAGTACTGAGTTTTTCACTTTACCCAAGGATATAGTTAGTAAGACACTTTTGATGGACCACTACAACCTGAAAGTCAAAGGTCACATGACGAATGTGGGCAGCATGATCGCTGGCAAACTTATCTGTTAGCATTTGTGCCAGTTGTTATTACAATGGCAGCCAGCAGATCACACTGACTGTGGGTTTGAGGAAATGGTTCAATGGACACATTTCACCGATTATAAGAAAAGTTGTTTGTTGCCTAATAAAGTAAAAACAGATTTAAAGCTTCATCCTAGTCCATCTTTCTAGTAATACACTGATATAGTTTTAAAGGGAAAATAACTCATTTATATGATTGAATTACTGATTGAGCCTTCAATGTCCTCCTCCAACAGTGCGCAGGGAGGACGAGCCCTTCGTCCTTGATGACATTGCTTATGACAATGAAAATGAGAGAAACGCTGATCCCTGCACCTCCAGCGGCTGCATGTGGGGCAAATCTTCCGATGGAAAGGTCTATGTGCCCTATGTCATCGCCTCACATTTCTGTAAGTGACTATATTTGAAATAGTTGACCAAAAGATTGGATGTAATGTAGAGTTATAACGTGGGATCTAATGTGCTTAATGTTTCAAATAAAATCAACTAGTGTAAATTTACAGCTTTCATTATGAAGCTATTTAAAAAAAATAAACGTTGTAGTTGAATTGTTGTTTGATCTCAGGTGATCACAAATTTGGTAATATCCTTTATTACTTGTTTTTCAAACCAAGCTTCCTCTGATCAAATTGTTAGATCAAGTAAGCGTCCCAGTACAAGTTTATGTTCAACTGACAGCGCCCTCTAGTGGCTGTAGGCATTATGCTGGGAACAAAGGAGCAGTTCAGATGATGTCGAGGGGGGATGGACGGATCAACAAAACGTCAACATGACTGACAGTCAATGCTATTTCTTTTGTTAACACCATGATCACTGTCATTCCCTAACTAGTGTTTATTATAACCACGGTGACAAAAGTCCCCTAAGTTGGTCAAGACCACATTTGTCAAGTCCATGACCAGGTCTTGACAATCTATCTGTCCGTTCTAGATGGATTTTGAATTAAACCAGTAGGATGATCCTTTTCTGAACAAGCTCACTTCATCCGTGGTTTTATTTTGAAGGAGGATGTTGCTTTAGAGAAAACCCCATATATTTTTGGACTCAGTCGAGACCAGTTAGAATATTTGGTGAGACCAATGGCCCAGTCTGAGACAAGTCAGAGTAAAAGTACCAGTGAGTCCAAGACAAATTCGAGTCCAGACTTGAGTGCTCCAGCACTGCCCCTAACTTAAATGAAGTAGTAATTTTGACTCAGTACCATTATGTTGTCCTAACCTTATCAAAGTACTTATTTTAACCCAAACCAACATCTTTCCCTAAACCTAACCAAGTCATTTATACGACTAAACCAAATCAAACCGTAATCATAGAGTTATCACATCGATCATATTTTGTTGTTTATTTTGGAGGGTTTGTTGTGTTGGCTGCAGATAGGTGTGTGTACGTACTGATCATATGTATCTCCTCTGACCTGCTTGTGTCTTGTCAGCTTCTCGTGAGCGCTCCATCATCGAGCGTGGGCTGCTGTCCTTCCACGACGTCTCTTGCATCCGCTTCGTCCAACGCACCAGCCAGAGAGACTATCTGAGCATCAAGTCCGACAATGGGTAACAAACTGTGTGTCTCTGTGTGTGTGTAAACTACATGCAGTGCATTAACTCAAACCTCTGCTTGTGTATGACAAAATAATGCATCATTAACATCAGCTATCAGTGATTAAATCTTTAATTTGGAAGTTGCCCTTAAGTTGACCTTGACTTACATTTGTCTTAGAGTTCCCTTTCCCTTGAGAGTGCACATAGCTGCTCAAAATTCAAATATGTTTTCTGCATTATTTCATCCAATCCGCCCCATTTTTTATCTAATTGTACGAATGCAGCTGTTACTCCTACGTCGGCCGCCGTGGTTATTCCCAGACTCTGTCTCTGGACCGTCAGGGATGCCTCTATCACAGCACCGTCCAGCACGAACTGCTCCACGCCCTCGGCTTCAACCACGAACAGTGCCGCTCTGACAGGGACCAGCACATCCGGGTCCTGTGGGAGAACATCCAGTCCGGTCTGTACTTCGGCCTCCACACACATTACAGCATTAAAATGATCACTAATCTGAGGCTGCAAGTAATTCATGTTTTAGTTATTAATTCATCTGGAGATTATTATGTCAATTAATGGGATTATCACTGACGATCGATCCAAAGTGCAAAGATCTGAACAGACACTCTTAAAGACAGTTTACCGAATGCTTGTCATTTTCTGTCTTTTCTGACCCTTTGTCCTGATTGTATTCTCTCAGGTTTGGCGTATGCCTTCGACAAGATCAACACTCTGAACCTGAACACTCCCTACGACTACAACTCTGTCATGCAGTACCACAGGTTGAAAGGCTACCATTCATCTCTTTATTCAGATAAACATAAATCATATATCTTTGTTTCCTCATTTTTGAAAGTACCTTTAACTAAGGGACTGTATGAAAAATGTTGGGTAAAGAGGGTGGCTGAGTCTTATATTTAATTTAATAAAATATTTTAACTAAATAACATTAGATTATTGCGGCACATCTGTAAAGAATTTAATAGAACTATCTAAAGGTGGCATTACAAATCAATAAATAAATTCTGCTTTTTTAACATGTTATTTTTATTTATCTGAATCATTATGTTAAATTTGACAGCGTTTGCCACCAAATTGTAGTGGCCAGTTATTTTATAGCAGTGGCAGCTGCCACCCCTCTAGTTCAACCCCAGCCATCTTTGTGATGTCTTAAAAAACGTTTTTACAATAAACATCAACAGGAAGGAATTAATTAGTTAATCATTTTCATACAGTCCCTAATTAATGTCCTTTTTCTCATTTACACAAAAATTCATTATTTAGCCATCCACACAATGGGCAACACAAGAGATCTAGTTGATGAAGCTAATTGTGGCACTTTTTAGTTTTGTTTACTTTTGTTTGTTTTTTGTAACGTGAGTGAGTGACCCTTTAAACAATAAACTAATAGTTTCCATTTTATATACAAACCAAAAACAATTCATCCTCTGTACTCATTATAATTGCAGGTATGCATTCTCCGCGAACAATAAGCCCACCATGGTGCCTATCCCCAACGCAAATGTCGAGTTTGGCACAGCCCAACAGATGAGCAGGAATGACATCACCAGACTGAACAGTCTGTACAGATGTTAAACAGTAAGAGAACACACATTGGGTTTGTCTGTATGCTATACTTCTGTTGCTGTGAGTGTTCCCTCTATGAATCTAATTTATGGTTTGGAGAGACACATAAGAAAATGTGTGTTTGTCGCCTTTAACGTGTTTCTGTTTCTTTTTCCAACAGGCGATGAAAACAACCCTGACAACATGGAGCCACCTGACACATCAAACTTGCTGTTTAAAATTCTGACAATGTTTTCTCACTTTTTAATACAATCTAAGACATTGTATTGAAAATAAACCTTCAAATATTGAAACCTTGTTTGTTTGACACTGTTGTATCAAATGCTCCTGAATTCAGAGTTGAACCAGTTTACAATGACAGTAATTACACTGGCAGCTTGTATCACAGATATATTGTTAAACTGGATCCTCAGCACCTACATAATGAGGTCCAGGTCTTCTTGCACCATCTGATTGAATTGGCTTACATGTATCCCAGGGGGGTTTTCCTCCCACCCTCTCATAATGGCAGTGGTGTTTGGAGGGGGCAGCAGACCATAACCATCTGCGTGGTTAGATACCCCTCAAAATATACTTTTTAAAATATTTATTGTGAACTGATGCTGTAACATCAGCTGACAACAGCTTCAGTTCAGATTAAAGCTGTCTTTATGCTCCACGATAACATATCATATAATAACATTTTAGATTAGAGCAGATGTTCTTTATTGTGCCCAAAGGGAAATTCACTAACAAAAACCACGCCAACAGCTGTATGGAATAAGAAAAGTTTATTACACATTATGAACGAATGTGGAATACTGAGGGAGGAAAAATGGTTAAGGGATGGAGGGGAAAGTTTCGAGGGATGAGGAGAAGGGGTCGAGGGATGAGGGGGTATGGGAAGGACGGGTGAGGATTGATAGAAAGGAAGGAAGACTGGTTAGGTAGGTGGATGGAGGGAGAAGTTCAGCGAAACGGTCAGAGGGAACAGAGTGGGTGCTGAGACGCTGAGTGGGGGAGCTGTCTCTTTATCTCTTCAAGAGCCCCAGTGGTTCCTGTATTTGGATAAGAGAGGGAGAGAAATAAAATAGGGTTAAGGGGGGCAGGGATGTAGAAAATGAGTCAAGGAGGGAGTGAACGGATAATGTGTGCTTAAGTATGTTTTGAGCGGAAATGAGGTGAGTTCGGGGTGTGGTCTTTGTTCCCGAACCTAGTTTAAACTAATTTAGCTCAGGTCAGTGTCATACTAACAGACAAACAATAATAAATCAATCTGCAGTCTAAGTTGCTTTCTTTACCGTTTTCTGGTCATGGAGCATCTGGAGGTTTGAGCGCTGCTTTCCACAGAGCTTAGACCCCAAGGTGATCACCCTCCCTAGTTTGACCTTTGTCTTCCTCACAAAGTGCTCCTCGCACCACTGGTACATCGTCTCAGCTTCCTCCTTAAAAATGGGCGGGGCTGTTAGAGTGTCAACCAATGCAGTGCCTTGACAGTGTGACAGTGAGCCAGAATGCGCGACACCAGGACCATGAAACTAAAGCAGCTAAATGGAATTCAGCCATTAATGTTTAATATTTACACCTGTGTCTGCTGTAATAAAGGCCTACTGGAGGGACAGCTTAATATTTTCTCCTTATGACTGCCTCCAAAGGTGGAAGTAACTAATTACAACTACTTATAGTATTGTAATTAAATAATTTTTTTAAGCCTGTAATTTTATTCTTTTAGTAAGTATGCATTACACTATGTCTATCTACTTTGCTTCACTTTTAAAATCATAATTTGATACTAAGTAGGCCAAAATGCCAATGTTAATCATTGTTAACTTACCACACCATGGAGCTCCATGGCAGGCTCACCATCTGCAGAGGCTGGTGTCGGTTCTATCTTTTCCATGTGCCGCAAAAAAGACTGGGCCAGTGAAAACTATTATAAAATGCTGCATCAGGGTTTGGAGTGGTGACCACACCGAGCAGAGAAAGTGCACAAGTTAGGAATAATTTAGGAACTGAAGATTTGAGGAATCCACTTTTTACTGAATGTCTATTGATAATGCAACATCAATGGTTGAAAAGTAACTAACACTAGTAGTTTTTTAGCTTTTTTAGCAGGGACATTACAGATAAACACTGAGAACCAATGCATCAGTTGTCTAACTGAAGTTATTTAAAGATAAAAACAGATAAACAAATATGTGGATAAAACAGATTCAGGAAAAAGACAACAGAACTGATCAAACAGACTGTGTGCCTGTACATGTGTCTATGTGGATAATGTATTATGAGTACAGGCATAAATATATGTGATGAGTGACTCTATTAAGATGTCACAAGACTAAATGGAACAATGCATTTGGGCTCAGAAAAAAGGTAAACGAACAGTGATACGTGTAGTGAAAACTATTTGAAATAATTTTTTCTGTGCACAATTCAGTCTGGAATGAACTAAGTTTAAAATTGAATTGATAAACACTTACAATGTATAATAAATCCCCTGCCTCAGTAAAACAGTATGTGAAAAACATGCCGACTGTTGACGGGGAATCTTTGTATCCAAATCAAACAAGATTAAAAGGCTCTAATTACGGGAATACGCAATGTGGCATCAAGGTGAAATATTCTTATCAGGCTCTGAGGTCTGTTTCCACTCTGTTGCTTCCCTCACTGCCCTACATAAACTATCCTTAAAAGGATTTTATTCCGGTGCAGTTTATGCTTTATAATGTGATGTTGCACCACTTACTCGCTGTGTCTCTCTCGCCTCAGGGTTAGTAGTAAGTATCATTTATACCTTCTCATTAATGTTATTTTAATAATGTAATTTTATATGCTGTTTTTTGACTAACCGAAGTGACAAAAGTCTGATTACAGGGAAATGAAGTCATTGGTTAGATGTCTTGTTGGTTGTTTGTGTCTTGCTGCAGGTTATCTGTTAGGATGGAAGTGAAGTGCATTCTGGGCCTTGTGGTCCTGGTGGCTGTGTCAGCTTGGGCTGAGGAGGAGGTGAGTTTTGCTCCAATTGGCTCAACAACCACACACATTTTTAGTAGTGGAAGAAGTATAAAGATCTTTTTCTTAAGTAAAAATACCAATACATGAATGTAAAAATATCTGCATTCAAAATGACACTTGCTGTAATTAAAAGCACAGAAGTATTACGAGCTAATTGTAGTTAAAGTATCAAAAGTATAAAAGTAAAGAAAAATGGCCTTGTTATATGTGACATTATTAAAGCGACAATACTGATGCAACAATGATGTAACCTCAGGGTTTGGCTCCCCCAAAGGGTCACCAGATAAAACTAAAGGTTACTACGCACATCTATATTATTATTTTTTCACTAATGATTTTTCTTTGTGTGTATGCGTGTGTGTGTGTGTAAATTATTCAATAATTTCACCTCTTTTGGCTCTAAAATAAACCATGTGAGAAGGCTGAGGGGAACTGCTAACAACTCATAGACATCTGAAACATAACAAGAGGCCCGACTAGACGCTGTTGTTTTGTAACAAGTCACAAGCTGAACCTAGTTCAGTCTTTAATAATGCATGTGTTACTGTATCCGTGATATTTCCCTCTGAAACAGAGTGAAGTAGAAGTATAAAATCTATCAAACTACAAGTACCTCACTTGCACTGAAGTACAAAAGTTGAGTAAATGTACATAGTTTTTTAGTCTAAATTTGTTTTCCTGTCTCCTTTTCTCTTAATGTACAATTTCTGGAAAACTCCTGATTGTGTAAGTTTGCCATTTTTTTTAAAATCCAAATATTATAATCAGATTAGATTTTTAAAGTGAAGTTTTAAAATCTTTATCAAAGTGTCATTCAGCTCAGTTTATAAACTAAAACCTCAATATGTCTTCAATCAATCAGGTTCCCAAGGCTCTGAGTGCTTCAGAGCAGATTGAGAGAGTCAACAAGGATGTTGGTAAGATTTTTTATAGTTAAGTTAAGTTTAAGCTTTTAGTTTTAGCACTGATCCAAGATAAGACCACCTGGTTCCTCTTCCACAAGGACAATAGAAATAATAAAATATATACATTTTTTCATTATTTTTTTCCAACATGAAGGTTTGATTTCTCCTTCCAGGAATACAAATCTGGTGGGAAAATACTGAATCCTTAATTTATTTATTAGTTGGTCAACAGTTCATATATGTAGTCTCAGAAAGGCTGGAAACCACCTAATATCCTCCATCCAGTACAGAGGACCTAAACTTAGAGTTATCAGTCCTGTGATCCACTACAAACTACAAATCCGATCTTATCGATGGAAGAAAATGAATGAATTAGTGAAAAATGTTTTTATTTTGATCCCCTGGTGTGCCGCAGTCCGTTCTCCTGATGAGCCGTATATAGAGGACGATGTTGCCTACAAGTCTGAGACTGAGAGAAATGCTGACCCCTGTACATCTCGAGGCTGCATGTGGCCTAAGTCCACCGACGGGAAAGTCTACATAGCCTACACCATTTCCAGAGTGTTCAGTGAGTAGCTCATACTGTGACCCTTAAATCCGATTGGAAGTGAAGACATAAAAGTAACTCTCTAGGAGTCTCTCTACAGCTCATAATTAAATACAGTAGTATAGCAGTAGTTCCAATGTTTCCTCTACACAGCTCACAGTTTATCCTCTAAGATATATCACATTAATAGCACAGCATCATGACACTCTTGTGTAGCATCACTTCTGATTTTCCAGGCACTCGTGAGCTGTCAATCATCGAGCGTGGTCTGCAGTCCTTCCACGATGTCTCTTGTATCCGCTTTGTCAGACGCAGCAATCAGAGAGACTACCTGAACATCCAGTCCTTAAATGGGTAAAGATGTGTGACAGCATGTGTAGAAAACACTTTGCATGTCACCCTGATTTGTTCTAGTTGCTTGTTTTCCTTTAGCAATCCTACCTTTTAGAAATGATGTAGTACTAAATTGTTGTCCCAGTTTTGGCCTAATTTCTAGGGGACAGGTTTTTCTTTAGTAGGTAGCTTTTTATAAAACGTTCTCATTTATTTAATCTCTTGAGGTATTTCACTGTTTGCTAAAACAAAACAAAAAAGGAAACAACATGAGTGAATGAACTGAGATCTGTTCTGAACCGTCTTAGGTGCTACTCCTACATTGGCAATCTTAAAAACGGGCAGGATCTGTCCCTGTCGCGCTCAGGCTGCGTTTACCACCACACCGTCCAGCATGAGGTGCTCCACGCCCTGGGCTTCCACCATGAGCAGAAACGCTCTGACCGTGACCAGTACATCCGCATCGTGCTGGCCAACGTCACCCCTGGTAATTTAATAACTGAACAGGCGAAAATGTTGCTTTTCACTTTATTTAATTGTTGAATTGAAGGATGAAATGACTTACAGGAGATGGATAAGATGATATTAAACGAGATAAAAGTTCAACATTTTGGGAAATACGCTTGTTTTGTAGTTTTCTGGAAGCCAGGTGAGAAGATTGATACCTGTCTCATGTCTGTCTATGAAGCTATCAGCCTGTTAGCTTAGCTTAGCACAGTCTGGAAACAGCTTTTTAGTCAAACAGAGTCAGGCTGCTGCTATTGTACATGTTGGCACACTATAAAGGCTCTGCTACACTAAATGGAATGGAACCTTAATTAGTATCATTGGGAACACCTGTGTTTACCCTAGTAGTTCATGTTAAAGCGGCTGCTGTGAAAAAAAGTCTTTTGAATCCTGTAGCCAAGAAATAATCTTACAAACCCAATAAAACTACCTGCAAGGAAGCAAATAAGGAGGCAAATGTAGGTAAAGTGTTCCTTTAACATCAATATATGTTACCACAACCATAGATAGGCAGGACTTAGCTCTAGGTACCACTTAATATGTGAATATTGAACACAAACACAGATGGATCTCATGGTAATTCTGTTTTCTTTTCAAATCTTTAGGACTGGAGCACAACTTTGACAAAATCAATACTCTGAACCAGGGAACCGCCTACGACTACGGCTCTGTTATGCATTATCACCAGTAGGTTGTTGTGTGGGGACTGTGGCTGTTGTGTTTGAGAATATTTAAAAAATGCAAGGGGCTGGGTTGGTGGGGGTGTGTTGTTTCAGGTACTGGCAAGACAATTAAATTTGATCCAGGAAGTCCAATTTGAGTATGAGAGTAATGCATATAACTGCGCAGTGGTTTATAACACTATGAGGAGGGATTTTACAACTCTGGAAAATTATCATGGTCGCAATTTATTGAGAGTAAAATCTGCCATGATTGGCCATCACAGTGCCTTCCCAGATGATATCACAGTCTGGCAAAAATGGAGCCAGGTTAAACTTTTTTCATTCAAATGAATAAGAAGGCTGGAGTCTGTTCGTGGCCTTAGAGATGAACACAGCAGGTGTTACGAGTGAAAACTGAGGGGATGTTCATCAACTATTGATGAGGCAAAAGACAAGGATGTCCTCTCTCGTCTACCTACTTTTAAAAATGACTCCCCCACTTATGTAAGAATGCAGGATTTTTTACTAAAATGTCAGGAATAGCTTATTTTTTTCTTCAATTATCTGTCACATTTATCATTATTTATTATGATAATTGTGTATGAATAATTATTTATCGTTATTGTGATAAACAGTAGTGTAATTATTAAAGACAATGGGCTGCACACTGGGCACTATTACACTTTAAATTTAATAAAATTCCCTTTACATATATAATAAAAAAAATATATTAAAACAATTAGCTTAAAAATGAAAATATTAAGCAAACACATACATTTTAAGTACAAAACTCATCAACTTTTTGCTTTTTGTGGTTTCAGATATGCTTTCTCTAAGAACAACCAGCCCACCTTGGTTGCCATCCCTGACTCCAGTGTTCAATTTGGCCTGGCCTCTGAGATGAGCCAGATGGACATCATCAGGCTCAACAAGCTGTACAAATGCTGAACAGGTCATTAACTATCACAACACGTCCTTTCAACCACAGCAACATATTCTCAGCTATATTTCTTTAAGTTGATCTGTCAATCAACTATAACGTTCTCTTTTTAAACAGGTGTGAATGAGGCCCTGCATACTTCAGAAAGAGAATCATCATCATCACGTCTTCATTCAGTCACTGGGTTGACAACAAATGCTGTTTGATTAAATCAACATCAATACATTTGGATTCAAACATACAGTCTCTTTGAGTTTTACTCTCATTTTCCTGTGTATTTGCTTTCTCATCTATGCTTTCTATCAGCCTCTCACACACACTGACGAAGCTCTCAGCATCTGCTCGCCTCCACCTGCAGAAATGAATGGGAGATTCTGTATTAATGAATCATTAGGTAATGATAAGTTAATAAATATCTGTCAATCAATCATAAAGACCACTTTCTTCATGAGTCATTCCTGATTAACTCAAACTGATTAACTTCATCTTCACATAAAAAGAAACAGTGTCCCCTTTAACTGAATTTGAGCACAGTGCATCAGTGTAAACAGAGTCAAGTGCCTGATCTGGGATGTTAATGGAGCAGGTCTCTGTAAAGATGTGGTTGCAACAGTGTCTGTTTTCCTGTTGTCTGGCCAGCCTGAGTCCCATTTCATCATCATTAGCCAGGAGCAGCCTAACTCGGCCAGCATGGTTTCTATCCCAGCTGTCTTCCTCTCTGTGTAATTCAAACTCCACGCTTCCTTTTCTGATGACTGTCGGCTATTTCTGTCATAGGTAATAGTGTTTCAGCAATAAAGCCAAAAACAAAGTCAAAATCTCCTGGTCCAGTTGATTTGAACAATTTTGGCTTAGCCCTTTGAAATTAAATCCATTTAGATCATCATCATTCAGTGATGTTTCAGAAGTAAAGCTAAAGAAAATGACATATTAAAATATAAATGTACATTTAATACTATATAGCGAGCCCTGGCAGTCCCAGTGTCGTGTAAAATGTGAATTAAATGAATCACTCTGTGTTTATAATTATATTATATATATATTATAATTTCCCTTATGGCATACTCCATGGACTCTTTTAGGAAACAGAATGATGGGAATAAGCATCTGGCATCAAGGTGAAATAGTCTTATCTGTTGCAATGTGTTTATTTATATCTCCAATCATTTTCTACCCAGAGTACAAGAACAGCTCTTATCCAAAGCTGCTCACAACCACTGACCTAACTTTCTGTTGAGCATTTTGGTGTGAGCGTTATTAACGTCAGGTTTTCAGAAGACATGGCTGGTCTGAGGTGCACTCTGGGTCTTCTGGCTCTGATGGTGGTTTCCATCACAGCTGATGAGAATAAGGTGAGTTTTTTTGCTTAAAATTTAAAAAAAAAATTTGCTAGCACATTTTAAAAAAAAGGTTCAGGGTTATCAAATACACCAAAATCAAAGGAAATCAAAGAAGGAAAATAAAAACATAAACTGTATCCCCAAGTGTATAAAATGTGAGTTGTACAGTCTGCTTCTCTTTATCTGCATCTCCTTCTTTATCAATGTCGTTTGAATTTAATGAGTTAAATCAGTGAGTAATAGTTTATTAGTGAGTTTATTTCATGAATTCACCTCATCAGTAAATTTCTAATAATAATTTGGAGAGTTTTCTGCCGCTAAACTTCAACTGAAGCAAATCAAAACAGAAGAAAAGTTACTCCATCTACAACTGTAAACTGCTGCTTAAGCAATGATGCATTAATCCTAACTGCTTAATGATAAAATAGATAATGATATATCAGTCACAGCGGCCAATGTTCTGCAGAACAAGTACTTTTACGTTTCATAATTTAAGTATATTTTGCTATACTAATACTTCTGTACTTTTAAGACGGATTTAAGAAGGAGTGCTTTTATATTATTTTACTTAAGTTAAAAGATCTCAAGACTATAAATCATAACACTGTTCTATTTTTCTCATCACAGGCTAAATCTGTCTCTGAGCGGATTGAGGAAACAAACACAAACATTGGTGAGATATTTTATAAGAATTCAAAACTTTGTTAATAACTTTTATTATTCACCCAGATTGGTACAGGTATTATTTGACATTTGAATGCTTTATTTGAACAATGTGGATTATCCAGTAGCGAAGCATTTTAAGGAGACACATAGCAGCAGTGATCGTACAGGTCTGGAATGGCTTAAACAATTTATCAGCGTACGCTCAACCAGAGAGAGACATTGTGGATTTTCAAACTTGATGTAAAGGAAACTGATCTCAGACCTTTTATAACTTTAATTTCAACATAGAAAAATGTACGTAATGTCATTACCACCTTAAGTTTCGTATCGTAAAATCCATGGGAAATAATCCCTGAATCCCATTATTTCCCACCTGTTGTCCCAATTACCCAACTGGGATTCATCCCTAAATGAATGAATACAAATGTCAGGTTAAATACTGTCTCTTTATTTTGGTTGTTTTGTCCTCTTTGGTCTTCCACGTCACACTGACGGATCTCAGTCGGATCTCTTGATGGGCTCTTCCTGGAGGGTGACATTGTTTATGATTCTGAGAGTGAGAGGAACGCCGACCCCTGCACCTCCCACAACTGCAAATGGGACCAGGCCAGTGATGGTCTGGTCTACGTGCCCTACGTCATCGCAAACGACTACAGTGAGTGTCAGATCTTTGCAGTTTTCACTCCAGTGGTGGTTTCACTGGTCTGTCTTTAAAAAATAGTCTGGTGCCCACATGAGCACTGAAACAGGTTGTGTTTGCTGTAATCATTCCTCCTACTGGCCATGAAGAGATCCTCTCCTAATGTGCTTCTAATGTAAGAGATGGGGGACTCCAAGCAAAGCTCAGTGTTCATATGGGCACCTGACTATTCTTTTAAGTTTTCACCCTTTATTTTTTGTACAAATTAAATAAACAAGATTTAATGTGGTAATTAGATAGCTTTAGATGTGCTGAGGTGGAACTTTTCTCTGGACAGGCTAGCTGTTTTCCCCTTGTTCCCAGCCTTTATGCTAAGCTAAGCTAAGCTAAGCAGTTATTGGCAGTAATTTCAGATTTAGCATATAAACATCAGAGTGGTATTGATCTCTTCATTTAACTCTTAACAAGAAAGCCAATAAGTTATTTGATTTGATCAGTGGTATGACAGTAGAATGTTTGTCCAATTAACCTGAATTATGTAATGATGAGTTTGTTCCAACATTTTCAGGCTCTAGAGAGCGGGCTGTCATTGAACGTGGCCTGCAGTCCTTCCACAGTGTTTCCTGCATCCGATTTGTCCCTCGAGCCAGTGAAAGAGACTACATCCACATCCAGTCTCTGGATGGGTTCGGCCTTTATTTCACTCACTAATGTAGACATAATGACAGACAGAGGTTTCTAATCTTATGTTTTACCACATTTCTGATCAACCCTTTGTGCAGTTGTACTTTTTCTACTTGAGGAATCCTTTAGAAATATAAACTCCCAGAAAACCACTTTACCTGAGCTTAATTAGGTTCTATGGTGCAGTAAATGTTATGGTTTAATCATATCAATGAATGTGTATGAGACATTCAAACTGCCTCATAATAATAACATACAGTAACTTCAGCATATAAGATTGCTACACTCATGTAATTGAATCTCCATTTGGTGATAAAGTTCATTCATGAGGAAACAGCTGTTCTTAAAAACAGATTACTACTTGATCATTTCAAAATGTTAGGCATCCAGATGGTAAAACTGATATTCATTTTAATATTTGATTAATATCAAAAAGACTTTTCTTAAGTATTTACAATTCCACTTTCAATTGCTTATTTTAATGTGAAACTAATATAACTAACTATGTCCGTCCATACTTAAACACATACATATAATATACACACTGTTGATCTCCCAGGTGCTTCTCCTATGTGGGTCGGCGTTTCAACGAACAGGCTCTGTCTCTGAAGCGACAGGGCTGCCTGTACCATGACGTGGTGCAGCACGAGTTGCTGCACGCTCTGGGCTTTAAACACGAGCAGTGCCGCTCCGACCGAGACCAACACATCCGCATCCTGTGGGAGAACGTCATACCTGGTGGGTGACACCCTGACCTTTTGTCTATTGGTTCCATCAGCTCAAAATGTCCTATCCTAGAATGTATGAAGTATTGTGCCCCTTTATGTAATGAGGAGGAAAGTAATGGTTGTGAGGCACATTTGCCCGATCATCCAATATCAACTTTCTGGCCTATGTGCATTGTCCCCAAGATGAACCCAAATAGTTTTGGTGACCCCTATACTTTTTTGCGAAATCTTTTTTTTAGAAAAAGTTACATGTGAGACAAAATCTGACTGCCAAGAAATTTACTGAACACATTCAAGAGGACAAACCCTTTTATTTTATTGACCCCACTTGACCCCTTTAATTGCATTTGTTATAGCTGGTTTACAATAAACACCGCCTACTGGTTTGCTACCCACTAGCAGCCAGTGAACAGGAGCAGCAGCAGGACATACTAACAATTATATAATATGTGAGGGTATGGACGGGCACATTGGAGGGAGATTGCACTCAAAAGAGTCAGTAAGAAGCTACAAAAGTACAGACACGCTTTGTTTGGAGGAGGGGGCGTCACAAGTTGGCCTTGGCTATGGGCACTGTGGAACAAATGCATGTGTTGAAGACTTGGCACTGTGCAGTACAACTAATGTTGAGGAAACATAGCAATACTTACTAGTACTCACTGGTCAGTACTAATACAATGCTTTGCTTGGTTGCTCTCCTTTGAGGTTGGGAGTATGCCTTTGACAAGATCAACACTCTTAACCAGGGAACCCCCTATGACTACAACTCAGTTATGCAGTACAGCAAGTAAGTACAGAGACCCCAATGTGTTTTAAGTTAATTTAATGACATTTCTTCTGCACCGTTTAAACCAAATAGTCTCAGTGATTTGTCCTCCTCAGGGCAGACAGAACCAAGACAACATAAAATCTGACTCATTTATGTATTCAACAACATTTCAGCATGAATCTGACCCACAGTGGCGCAGATACCTGCGCCTTATAGCTTCCATCAGCCACTTTCAGAGTATAATGTGTATAATTCCAGGTACGCCTTCTCCAAGAACAACCAGCCCACCATGGTGCCGATCCCTGACTCAAATGTGGACTTTGGTACGGCCACTGAGATGAGCCAGAACGACATCACCAGGCTCAACAGGCTGTACAACTGCAGATAAACCAGACTAGTAAGTACACACACACACACACACACACACACACACACACACACACACACACACACACACACACACACACATGAATTCAGCTGAATGTAGAGGTGAGGGCCTGAATGTGTGTCATCTTTAGGTGACAAAATAAATACACCCATTCATTACTTAATGAATAAATTGTGTGTATTTCTTGTAAACTGAGGCCAAAGTATTGACTGTCACTGTAGCAGAGCACCCAGTGTACCCTTCCAGAATCAGAGTATTTTCTTGAAAGAAATATTATGGCCTGTTGTTGAAATGATAATATGTTCTATATATATATATATAATGACAAATTGTGGATGTTTTGCTGTTTTTCCACACTGGGGTGTTACAGATGTTAAAAAAAAGAAAAGTAATAAAATAAATATATATACGATTTCTGTCTGATTTAAATTTTTCTGTCTAAGGCCCAACACAGGAGTCTCTTCCAGGGGTTCAGCTACCAAACGGATGCCCTTCTGTGAGAGCAGCAGTCCAAATTATGTTTGATTATGGTAATGGTTGAAATACACATCAGCTACAACAAGGCCTCTACACTGAGACTCTCAATCAAAATACACATAGATTGACCTTGATTTGAGGTCAACAGCTTCAATAAAATGTCACAAAAAAACACGATCATGGCCTCATTTCTCTGGATTTTTCTTACTGTAATGCTTATAAAGGAACAATGAAGTTTGCCTGTTTGCTCCTAATGTGATTGGTTAAATTCAGAGAACAAATGTCAGTGTGTGTGGTAGCCTACTGTGTATTGTGATAATAAACTTATTTTGATTTGTTTGTTGGTAATAAATAAAATCAGATTTATTAAGGGATGCAGAACTCCTTACTCTTCCCTGAAACATCTATATTTTTGCTCAGTTCTATGGTCATACATACCTAATAAAAATAGAATAGGTACGCAGTAGTTAAACAATATCTATCGTGAGAACAAATATTTTTAAATGAAAGAACAAACAAACATGTGTTAGATGAACATTTAATGATTAAAATAATTTGGAAATGTGACTCCCACCACCTTTGAGCAAACAGGAAAATCCTTTACCTTACATAAATCCAGACTTTCCCTGTTTAGGAAAAAACTACCAGAGAGTAGAGTGAACCACCAGAGTCATCAGTTATTATAAAAGACATGTGGTCCTTAAAGGATAAGTCTGGTGATATTCAATATTATTCTTATTTAAAAAAAAATCTAAAAAACAACAACAATGAAATGATCCTCTTGATCTGCTGAAAATAGTTAATAGGTAATAACAAATTCACTATTTTTGTTTGTTGAAAACTGCAGTGTTAATCTATTTTAGAAATCTATTTTATTACTTTTTAAAAAGTGAAACTATATATTTATTTCGAGGTGTTAGCCACAGACAGTGTAGAGAGGTCAGAAAGTGTTGAGAGATGGACTTATTTGGTTTTCGTTTTATTAATGTGATTATGGGATCAAACATACAAAATCATCCATGTGTCACCTGTAGATTTTTTGTTCAGTGTCAGTGCTGCTTGCTGACTCTTCAGCATGCAAACGCTGCCCTGACAGAAAACTGAGAAAGTAAAAACTCTCCTGTTTTAAATCAAAAGTGAAATGGAGCATTTTACACTACATGTCACATTCACCCATTTACACACTGATGACAGAGGCTGCCATTAAAGGTGCCAACTGCTTCACACATTCATACACTGATGGCACAGCATCATGAGCAACATGGGGCTCGGTATCATTCTCAAGGATACTTGATCGAGAGGAGCTGGGGATCGAAACCACCAACCTTCATGATTGTTGGATGACCCACTCTAACTCTATATATACGTGTGGTTGAATCTGTGATTTTTGTGATTTTGATTATGCCTGTACATGCAGTTTTTAAATGGAGCTGAATGAACTACTTTCCCTTTTTCTATATAAACGTAGGTAATGAGCAACATGTGATTGTACACCAGAGATCACTGCAGTGGATGACTATGTGCTTGCTCAAGTTAAATAACTCCAAAATTAACCTGGCTCTGTCACCTCTGAATCATAAAAAAACCAAAAAAACTTTCCACCACTGTTGGTCTGAGAATGAAGCAGTCTTTGGAGGGTATTTCAGTTACATTATATACAGTTTAAAATATAGCACATTTATATGGCAGTTTCATAATTCAAAACTTCAAATCCAAAGTTTACTGTTGATGTTTTAGTTTTTAAAACGATGACAGTAAACTGAGAGGAATCTGTTTTTTCTGCCTGCTCATCGCTGGAGCCTACCTTTGATGATGTTCTGCAGCAGGGCCCGGATGTGCTGGTTCCTGTCAGAGAGCAATGTTCCTGGTTGAAGCCCAGGGCGTGGAGCAGCTCATGCTGGACTGTTCCGTAGTAAATGCAGCCAAAACGGCTCAGAGACACGGTCTGGACGTTGCCTTGGCGTCCTACATAGGAGTAGCATCTGCAGAGATGATGGATTGGACAGTAAGTTCCCTCCTTCAGCAAGACACTTTAAACAGCTGCTTTCATACTGATTATGTTCTGTGCGAATGTCATTGAGGCATGGGAATGAACCACCAACTAAAGATTATATCACATTAACAGACATCCTCTACGTACCCATCCAGAGACTGAATGTTGAGGTAGACCCTCTGGTTAGTGCGGGGAAAGAAGCAAATGCAGGTGGAATAGGAGAAGGAGTTGAGGCCTCTTTTGATGACATCCAGCTTCTTACAATGTAAGATGGCTTAGGGGATACTGGTCCTGTTTGCACATTATTAGGGTTGGAAAGCACAAAACAATCAAACTGTTGATTGCTGCAACTGATTTAGCCTGTTCAATAACAGTAGTTAGACGCAGCAGTAGTGTGCAACACACATCTGAATCCTCTCAAAAAATCCCATTACCTTCCTCCTCACCCCCCCTCTTCTTACCTAATATTCATCCTTTTTGCCTAAGTGTCATTTTCCTGATGCAATGTTTTCACTTGCCGTATATATCATCTATGTACTTTTTATTTATGGTGCACAAGTTGTTTTCCACAGCCAGTCTAATATAGAATGACATTCACAACAAATGACATACATGTTCATGAAACCTTTAAACAAATCACAAACAATTGGTGTCATTTACAGCACTTATGTATATCTAAAAATACACATATCACAACTTACACACAGTAAAAAAATGCAGCATTACGGACGGTCAACAGTAAGAAGCTCTCTTCTTTGGTGCTGCTTTGAGAAACGACTGTAGGAATTTAAGAGTGTTCGTAGAAAGCTAATTGGTTGAGCCAATTTTGACAAATTTCTTTACAACCTGTAAACAGAAAGTGACAGCGTTTCTGATGCATTATCAAGCAACCAGCGGTGGATAAAAAATGTATATCTACTATATTATTATAATATGAATTATCTTATATAGATACATTTGTCTTGTTAGGTTGAGTGACTTCACTCTGGACGGTAGAGACGTGCTGATAATGTTGCAGAGCTCCTGTTGTTTCAGACACTACTGCTACTACTACAAATCCTCTGGAAGAACTTTCAATGTGAGGTGAGTAACAATGAGCTTCAAAATGCCCCTTAACTACCATAACACAAAGTAATTTAATTGTTATTTTACAACACTGGGTTGTAATAATGAAATTCAGCTTGTAGCTTCTGTTATTCTACTCATAAAAACCCTAAAATATATGTATAAATGACGTAGTAAAATGTATTAATAACTCATAAAAATAAAATAATTAATTAACTCAACTTAACTGCCCTGTCTATATATTCTGTAAGTACGTATTCAATATTATTTTTGTATTTGTACACACAACACAATAGCAGCTATTCATGACTTAAAAATATTACAAAAATAATATAATAATAAATGCACCAAATGGACCTTGTGTTGAGATTGTGTAGTCAACTCCAGCAAGGTCGGGAATTAACTTTTAACCTCAACTTTGAATCCAACATGGACAAGATGTCTGTAAAGTAGTCAGAAAATGAAAAATGACAATCTCCTTATAACAAACTTTCTGCTGTAGCTATAAATGTGTTTGAAGTTGCACTTTATAGGGAAAATAACTGTTAATGTGATGCTGAAGAGATGAAGACCTGAGTGAAAGCTCCAGTCGTGGGACTTACCCCCGCCTCGGTCTAGGCTGAGACTGCAAGCAGGGCCAGGAGACCCACAATGCATTTCATCGCTGCCATGTTACAGAAAAACTTGAAGGCTGAAATAAAACAGAAAAAGTTAGGAGCATGAAGAGCAGGCAGGCATTATTATTCACTTACCTTTCTCCTTTTATTTCAGGTAGGAATGTTGGAAATGTGATGCTCTGTGAAGGCAGCAGTCAGCCTCTTTTATATCAAAACCTGTAGAGGTCCACCTTCAGCAGTAAATATGGAGGGAATTATCTCCCTAATCCTGCTAATACGTGTTTACCTTCTTGAACCTCATTAACCATTAAGTTGATTTTTCACATCTTTCTTACTGACACAGGGTGCAGATATATGGCCACACTAATCCAGGACATCGAAGAAGGTGTAAGAAGTGTTTAATGTTGATATTGATCTTGACTAAGAATCCTAACTGCTTTGGGATTAAGTGTTCATCGTCTGGGAACATAGTGGGAGTCGCTTACAGATGCTATGGGAGTGTTTTTGAAGAGGCCACAGAGGTTGACAGCCTGCCACTGAAACACGGCCAAATGAATCTGTCAGGTTTAAAAGTGTCCCTTCTGTGTGCTTGTCTTTAATGAACCTTTACTGACTTAATGAATGAACAATGGTGGCCTTGTACAGAGTTGACCCTGACAACAGGCCTTTGCTGTGAGCTACTCCATAGACAGAGATTATTTGCTGAACACATCTATTAAAGCTCTACCACCACCATTGTTACTGTTACTACCGTCTCTACCGGTTGTACCACCAGTGCTTACAACTACAACCAACGCTACTGCTATCACTACAAGAACCACTGTTACTATGACTGTTGTTTGGTGGTGGAACTTAACCAATTACATTTACTCAAATACTAAACTTCAGTACAATACAAAGGTGCTTGAACTTGAGTATTTCCATTTTATACTACTTTATAGTTTTAGTCCATTATATTTAGATTTGACAAATTTGAAAAAAGTGTAACTCAACCCAACCTTTTTGGCTTGTTTTCTAGTGTCAAGTGTCTAGCTGGGGCTCCTTCTCAAGTTTCAGATGTCTGTGAGTTTTTACACAGCACAGTTGGGCTCAGTGATGGCCTATTTACGCTTACTCCCAGACACAGCAGTGAATTAGAGTCCACATGTAGGCCAGATCTGGTAGCCAATTATGGCCCAAACATAGCCATATCTCAGCCAACTGTATGACCATAGCTGGCCCTGTCCTGGCCCTATGTTGCACTGGGGGATCCTGGACTGAAATTGTAGACTTGAAGATGTTTGAGGCTTTTCAGTTCTGTTGAGTGACAGGAACTCCCAAACATTTCAATGTCAGTTTAATTGCGCCATTGATTATCATCTGTTTGTTGACACCCCCATCACCTCACCTGATTTTACCTTACATTTAACATGTCAAAACGTGATACATTTACAGCTGAAACATCCTGGCGCACATCCAGCATGATATATCATGAACCATGAGACAGGCCCAGTATTTGATCAGCCCTGTATTTACTTATTGTATTTTGTAAGGATTGGTATGTTGATAAGATAAAAATTATCCTGATCTAAAGTCAACTAGGAGAGTTAGCACAGGGATCTTAAACTCCCGGCCCTCCAGCCCAAAACATGAAGGCAAAAATATAATACAATCCTGCCACAAGATTTTGTTTTAAAATATTTTTTCTAGTTGTGTCATATCAATATACATTACCCCTTCATATATAATTAAAATAAAAACACTATTTTAAAGATGTATTTCATTTGGTGCAAAATCATGGCAAAGGTCAGAAGTGTGCAAAGGGTTGAAAAGAAGAGAGCAGGTTTGGCTTTGAACAACTAAGACGAGGCAGCTGCGGTTCCGTTCAGGTCAAACAGAGTCAGGGTGCTGCTGTTGTGCATGTTGGAAAAGCTCTGCTACACTAAATGGAACAAAGCCTTAATTAGTATCATTGGTAACACCTGTGTTTACCCTACTATTTCATGTCAAAATGGCTGCTGTGAAAAAGGTCTGTGATTCAGGTTGTTTGTGACGTGGCTGCACTGCTGCTCTCTCAAACCAACTTCACTTATTGTCCACTAGGAGGCGACACTTCATCACAGTTCTCAATGACTTTGCACATACAGAGACCCACTGTCACCATTTCTTGTCCAGTATTGGTTATTGAAAGTCAGGTTTAGCTTATTTAAGAAAGCACAAAGATGATAACTTTTTTTTTATCTGTCTATGTAACCGTTAACAGGGCAATGTATGGAGGCACTTACAGTAATGGTTAGCTATGACATAGGGAATGTAGACCTTGCCATCAGTGGCTTTAGGCCACATACAACCACGTAGGACGCAGGGGTCGGCATTCCTCAGGGTGGGAAGATGAGGACCTAAGGACCTTTATTCAAGGACTTTGGCTTAGTAAGCATGAAATGTACATTTTATGCTACTTTATATTTTTACTCCACCACATTTCAGAGGGAAATATTGTACTTTTTACTGTGCTACATTTATATCAGCTTTAGTTACTTGGCAGATTCAGATAAAAAACACTAAACATAAATCAACAAATAAATGATGATGTATTGTTATAGATTAAGATACCCATATACAGTAATTAAAGGTAGCTTTACCTTTACCTTCACAAATTATAATCCACTTATAGGCCATTCTGCATTCTGAGTATTTTTACTTTTGGTACTTTAAGAATATTTTGATGCCTTTGAACTAGAGAGTATTTTTACACCGTGATATTGCTGCTTGCCATCTGAATACTTCTTCCACCACTGTTCAGTACATTTCTTAGATCTGCTACCATTGTGATGATAGTGAGGCGATCTGTTGTGTTTCAAAATATTGTCATTTGATTCAGGAAAAGTCTTGAAACAGTGACTGCAATGAACACATCCCTCCACTGGATTGATTAATCACTGCTTTAAAAGCTTGTAGTTTTAAGACTCTCTCTCATGTGAAGTCACCTGAACCATCCTAAACTGGATCTCCGACATTCTTCAGTGACTGGAGCTGTGATTGACAGGTCGTCTGAAATCAATGACAGTCTGTCACCGTGGCAGAGCTGATGCTGCCCTGAGGCATGAAGTGTCACATCAGGAGTTTTATTCCGAGAGGAAGTGCAGATTATTTGCAGAAGTAACAATCTAAACATGTCAGACTTTATAGTATTACTTAAGAGCAAACAATACCATGTAATGTGTGTGCCAGAAGAGATATGCATCTGTCTCTCAGCATATATAATATTATGTATGTATTACACTAATAGTATTCATTATATAAGAAGTAGTAGTAGAGATAGTTCCAGTGTTAATATTAGCAGCAATAAATATATATATTGCAAAATTAGCTACAGAGTGTATACCATTCTATATGGGATTACAATATATCACTAATCCATACAAATCATATCCGGTGCATAACCAAAACCAATTCACACAATTGTCATAATCTGATTGTAAAATATACACCATACAGTTTAATTGATCAAATAGTCCTTTCCACTTGTTTGAAGTCAGCTAAGTCCATCCGTCCCATTCTTGTCGACACAGTATCTCAGGAACGTCTTCAAACCTGGCACAAATGTCCACTTGGACTCAAGGATGAACTGATTAGAATTTGGTGGTCATAGGTCAAAGGTCACATCACAAAACACATTTTTGGCCACAACTTAAGACCTGATAACCAAGTTTCACAATGAGCCAAACAATGAATTGGTGACACTTTTGACTTAAAGGTCAAAGGTCACTGTGACCTTAAAATGACCTTGACAAACACGTTTTTGGTAATAACTCCAGAATTGATAGGGTAATTACGACTTAATTTCACACAGATGTATAACCAGAATATTTCACTTAAATCTCATCATATCAAAACGCCATATATCAGAAGAGGAAATGAGACTGACAGAGTCTGAATAATAATATGAATTATTATATATTAAGAATAATATTTAGAAATGGTAAATAGACTTTTCTGGGCCGCACTTGTCACATTCGCCCATTCATACACACACATTCATACACTGATGGCAGAGGCTGCCACATGAGGTGCAACACTGCTCATCACAAGCGATTCAGCGCTTCCTATCCAAAGCTCACAATGATACTAAGCTCACCCATAAACACGTTCACTCACACACCGATGGCACACTCATCTGGAGAACTTTGGGGTTCATATCTTGCCCAAGGACACTTCGACTGGACAGGGGAAGCTGGGGATCGAACCATCCAACCTTCCAATTACTAGACGATCCACCCTACCACCTGAGTCAGTCGCAATAGTAGTATAGCAGTATTAGTTTAAAGAGCAAGGGGCGCCCGGTTAGCTCAGTGGGTAGAGCTGGCCACCCATGTACCAAGGCTGAGTCCTTGCTGCAGCAACCCAGGGTTTGAATCTGACCTGCAGCCCCTTGCTGCTTTTCTTTAGTGATGCATACACTATTAACTAATACATTTGCAATTCATTTAATTTCCACAATGTAGTGAACAAATAGGCGTCTGACCCCACATTGGTTTTAGCCCCTAGGACAGCTGCCTGCTTTTTTTCAGCCTGTGATCTTTGTAGGTAAAGCCTGGATGAAAGTTAAAAAAAAACAAAACACTTCATCCAAAACATTGTTGATGTTTAATCAGGGCGAGACTCTGGTAGAACAAGCAGACCGTAACGTTTGAGAAGGAGAACATGCTAGAGGAGATCACAGCTCCGTGCTGTGGGTGACTCATTTTGGCATCTAGATCGGAGCAGGTTCTGAGCTAGACTTTCACTCTCCCTGAAACCGGGTGCCAAGTATCAGGGTTGTGACCCCAACCACATGCTGGTTGGACCGGATGAGACACTGAATCAGCGAGGGCTCAACTCTGTCATGTGCCCCGGCCCAAAGTGTAGACGTTGGATTTTCTGACCAAAGCCTCTTCTTCTCTCGCTTTATCTGATTTCCTCTGATGCCGGTTTTTATTCCTTAAATGTTTCACATCCTTTCGCAAAAAATGTCAAGGTGAGTATTTGAAGGACTAGTTACATAAGTGTGCATTGTGATCGTTCTCTCAGAATGAGCACACAATAAGTCTCAGAGAAGGACACCAAGAAACTATGGTGCATTGTGGTGGGTATGTGCAACTAAATCCTAATATCATAACAAGGAAGTTTGGATAAACACTAAAGAACAGAAACATGTAGAGTTTGCAAAGTAGAGACTGCTCCCATGAACATTTATTGGTATACCAACATGTGACGTTTCAGGCATGAGCCCTTTTTCAGGCATTAAGTTATATGTGCCCAGAGAGGTCACCAAGGTAACAAATAGTGAACCAAAGATAATAAATGCAGTAAATACAATAATTATATACAATGATACAATGAACCCTATAAGTACAATTCAAATGTCCACCATGTCCCAAGCCACTGAAGTAGATCAAAACAGAACCATCAGGTAAATTATTATGCTTATACTTATATTTATTGGCATTTGAGAGGAGGAAAATATTATCTAGTTTATCTACTTTTTTACTTTTTATTTCTCTGTTCTTCACATGTACTTCGGTCCAGCCCCTGGTATTTATTGATTTTCGATGTGGGTGCTTTTGTAAACATGTTTCCTAGAATAAACATGAAGACTTTACAACAAGCACTGGATTGGCTGAATGTTCAGAAATCATCAAACATCAAATTTAAAAGTATACTTAAGTGCCAGAATGGCCCCTGTAAGAGTGCTATATCATGTTATTGGATTGTCATCACAGATTCATTCAGTAGCACTTATATGTTGTAAATGTGTAAAGTAGTGTGAATCTTACAAGGAAACATATTTTACAAGATTAGATTTGTTTGTATAATCTTTAACTTCACTGTAATATATAAAGTATATAAAGTCGAAAGTAGAACAAATAAAAAAGTATCCCTCAAAATTATACTTATATTTTCTTATTTTTTTTATAGGGCCATTCTTTTTCTCTTCGTTAGTTAAAGCAGCAACAGGGAACTTTAATTTTTTGTTGATAAAGGTGTAAAAGTGGTAACGTTTCCACTGCTTCGTTTCATTGATTTTTCGCAGAATCCGGCCCTGAATGATTCGGCAGGCATTAAGAATAACTATATAGAAACAGCCAATCTTCTCTGGTCTTTATGTAGGTCATATAGAGCCATCAGTATTACATTTAGACTATTTTATAACCAGTTAAAAACTCCTTGTAGCAAGTTTAAAAGATCTTAAAGATAGAACTTTACGTATAAAGTTTAGTTTTAAATCTCATCCAGACTTCAGAATTCATGTCTGATATGGGGTTTTCCATAAATAGGTTTCATTACCTCTTTAAAAAATCCTAAAATAACCTTTACTCCTTCTCCCTCACCGAAGAAATTGGAAAATATGCGAACAGTGTTTGTTTCAAATGTTTAACTGCAAGACACAAGGTGTTTACTACTTCACTGAAAAGTCCATTCTCAGTGTTTATGCTCTGGAAGTTTCCACGTGGCACTTATGTAATTATATATTGTATATTGGACCATGAAACTAGTTGTTTGACAAGCTCATATGTACACATTAAACTGAGATTGAGGGTGAGAGCAGACAAACTATTTGTACAAGTTCACTCTTTACCACTGTCACATGAACCTTATACATATCAAATTTCAGTATTTATACTTTTCCTCTCTGGGTGGTTACATTGAATCCTTGACTTTAGGACAAAAACAGTGACTGGAGCCTTTCAGTAGAAGCACCTGCTCCCTGCACTCCACAGTCATGGGTTGGTTGCACAGAGAGAGACAGTGTGTGGGAGAAAGTGAAGAGAAGACATCGAACTAAACTGGGTGAGATTATAACTCAGAGGGGGAAAAGAAGAAGACAGAACAGCGCTGACTTCAGATCAGCAGGGATGGTGAGTGAACAGAGGTCTGGTTCAGCTACTGGCAGCCCCTCAGGGACAATCAGACAGAGATGTGGCCCAGATCCCGGCCCTCCTCCTCCTCCTCCTTCTCTCTATTTCCTCCCTCTCTGTCAGTAGAGTCACTATCTAGACCTTCCATGTCCTCCCATTTGAAGCTCTGGCCAGGATATGGGATCCGGGGCTCACTGTCTCACTCTCTTTATTCTTTCCTGTCAGCCTGCTGGCCGACCCAGCTTCAGAGCCACAGCACATAGGACCCAGTGATGGCCGACTGGCCGCCCGGCTGCCCTCTCAGTCCACTATGCCCTCGTCGACAAAAAGGGAGTCATTGTGCCTGCTGTGTGTCCCAACAATGAGCGAGTTAATATGAGCCAAGTATTCCCACAGGAATGAGGCAGGGGGGCTCTGCCTCAGAGTCCCTGCTGCCGCTCCCTGACTCTGGCCCCATCCATCAGTGTCTGTCTCGTTGTCTCCGGTTGCACTGCTTTCTCCCGGTTCTCCTCTCTCCTCATCATTTCAGCTCGGGGCTGCTGGCTTGTCCTCACATCCCTGCTTGCCCTCTCTGCAATGGACCCTGCGGACATGGTTTATGGGTCATCTATGCATCGCTTCCAACACGTACAGAGAAGCACTGTAGGCCTACAACTACAGTAATCTAGTCCCTGTGATGGAATGTAACATAAAATACATTTACTCAAAAACATCAGTAAGATTTCAGGATCCTCAAGTAGTTCAACTGTATGCTGCTTTATACTTCTGCTCCACATTTTACAGGAAAACATGAGATCAGTTTGTAAACTATGATGCATTATTACCAATTGAACATGAGCAATTTAACAAGTCCTTGTAACAAGTCCTCTAAATTAAAACTACAAAATAAAAAAAATGTGTTTGTTTGCCGTTGCCCTCCAGAATAACACAAAGAATAAGTGGGACGACATCATTTGTCCGTTTTATGATCTGATTACCGGTTTGGTTTGGTGTAGGCTCAAAATCGACTTGGTTAGGTTTAGGAAAACATCTTGGTTTGGGTTAAAATAAGTACTTTGTTGAGGCGAGGGGACCTTCATTGTTATGGTGACAATAATAAACACTATTTTCTGTGTAAAGATATAGTGAAGTAATGGTGACATCACACTCCCTTTGCCTGTGTTGTTATCCCAGCCTCTCGGTCTGTGCATGCATGTAAATCCTTCTGTTTCCAACTGAGGAGAGTGACTAGAAAACTACTGTTTTTCTCATGTATGTCTGCAAAACTAGGATTTATTTCAACAGAGAAGAGTTGGCAATTGTGGAACAGTGAAAAGCCATAAATAATTGTTTTGTGTATCTGGTGGCGAGTGATAGCAGTACAAAAGGAATCGTTTTCATAATGCTGTCAGACACTAACAGTAACAGTCTGAGCCTATTACTTGCAAAAACAAGCACTTTTAATGGACGCAGTATTCAGCAGTATTCTGTTGGTTGCAAACTGCAACTTCACCACTAGATGCCGCTAACTCCTACAATCTGGTCCTTTAAAATAGCCAATAGAAGTATTTATTATTAGCTTCACCTCCATCAGTTGCAACACCTGCATGAATATTTTTACTTTTTAATACTTCAAGTACATTGTGCTGCTAAAACTGATAAGATTTTGATTGTAGGACTTTATAACAGAGTACACATTTTTATATTGTAATACGGCTATTAATATGTATGCAAACGCTCAGAATATTTATATCACTATTTCAGTAATGTCAATAGATTCTGTATAGAAATGTCTCACTTTCTGGTCTCAACGTTTCCCATGGATTGTGGTTGCACCTGCTGCCATGGTCCTGCTTGACACCCACTGGTAATATTATTGTTATTATTATTCATTATATATCATCATTATCATTATTAATATTAGTTATATTTATACTTTTATAGTTGTTATTGTTGCTATTATCTTTATTATTGCATCGCTGTCGGTCGCTGTCGCTCTCTTTCGACTTAAAAATAAGACTAAATGTGGAACCCTCCTCTGGGTAAAAATGTCCCATCTCTGGGATAATTATCATGTGCGGAACCGCATGTTCATCATGTGCATGAGACTTCCTCCCATTAGCATTCACATGCGCTCATATGCTACAGATGTTCCTCAGGTCCTAACATCATTTGAGATTCCAAATTTGGAGGCAAGGTTATCCACAATCCCTCTTCCATGAATCAATAGTTTCCTCTGTGACTGTGCAGACCCCCCTTTTAACACCAGTCAAGTCAATTAGAGCAAACATGATTAAGCACATTTGGTTTTCGGTTAGATCAAACCAGTGGGAACAGCAGTTCCCCATAGCTGCTTGTACAAAATGCAGACTACATCTGCAATTCCTGGATTCACAGAATGGATGAAACGGATCAAAAGTTCATCGACAGTGACGGATGACTCTGACAATGGAAGGACGCTGTCACTATATGTCTAGGAAATATAGGAGTATGGAAGAAGCATGACAGAAAGTTAAGTATTAAAGGAAAGATTTGGTGTTGTTGTAGATTTTTCAACAAATGTAGTGAAAAGAACAAAACCAACAACATCTTAGTCCATCTTTCAAAACTTTCTGATTTGAGCATGAAGCCCTGTTCATGCTGAAGACATAAATCTTTAAAAATGGTTGTTAAATATATACTTTTATTTAAGAAAAACGCTGGGCACTTTAGTTTTTGGCAAATGTTCTCAACACTGTATATTTATTAGGGACTAGTTTCAGCTGCGGATTAACACACATGATGCTGTAGTGTGTATTTGGTGCAGTGTATGTAAGATTGAGTCAAAATAAACTGCAGTGTGTGTGTGTGTGTGTGTGTGTGTGTGTGTGTGTATGTTCATGGTGATGAAGGAACATGTCACCCTGTGCAACCTCCGTTTCCTTCAGTCCAAATACATTTAAGTCAGGTGGATCAGATACTCCAACTGTAGCCATATTGCAGGAATTAATCTATCCATGTTCATGAGCAACTTGTCATGATTGTCACAGTTGGCTCCAGCTCACTCACTGTGTGAACAGGATCAGACAGGTAGAGAAAACCTGTGTCAATCAAGTGTCACCTCAGTGAATGCTGGTTAAGCCCAGCTCAACACTGTACAGGTAACAAATGTGTATATTTACAGACAGTGCTGATCTGTGTTCACAACTTCATAAGCAAATTATTGAGTAAGTTTAATAATAAATACTAGTTTCAAACTTGTTCATGTTTATTCTTCATGATAAGACCAGGACCTTTAAATACAGTTAAAACCCTCAGCATACTCTTTTACCTGAAGAGAGCAGAGCAAGACCTTCACATTACCTTATTATGTTTCAAGTATGTTGTTCAGCGTGATATCAAACAATAGACAGCTGGCATGCCAACTTGTGTTTCTGGCCCAACTGCTCATTTATGTTTCATGCTCTGTGTAGGGTTGACTTCAGAGGCTGCCAAGAACTGCAGACTGCGAAACATACTATGTTGCACAAGCTTCAGCAGTACTCACAACAGCAGTGTTACTTTGACAGACTGTTTACTGTATTGAATTGTCTATCTGAAGCTGGTTTCAAGTCGTGCATGTCTATTTTCATGTAGAACCCAGTAGGCAAAGAAGGCTGGAAATGAATCTTTGTCGCCTTCCATTAAGTCTGTCATGTTGAACCATCATGTTTCTACAGTAGCCTAGAATGGACAAACCAAACATTGGCTCTAGTTTTTTTTTTACAGCCACCATAGTAATAAGAAATCACACTAATAATCATACAGTTCTTATTGATAAGGTCTTTTTCCTGAACTCCCAATGCGTCCACTAAATAACTTTCCCATTTCAAAGTCTCTTTTTCAAACAAACATTTCTGTTACTCAGATCATATCAGGATCATATCCTTTATGTCGTATTCAACACCTTCTTTCTTAGAGATCAATATCAAAAGGAATCCATCAATCTGAAGAGTATATTGAACATATGTATTAACTGATATTCATGACACATATTATACATGTTTATCCCAGGACATTGTTGCTGTTTATCCCATATGTTTACATAAATCATTTTAGAAACAGTTGCTTTGGAAAGCAATGAAACAAACCCACTCTGTTGTTCAGTTATAAGGACTTGCCGTATATACTGCTTGTGCCTGTATGCACTGCCAGACAGTCATATAGAAATGCTTGCCATGTGGTTTGCCTTGGGACATTATTTTCATGTTTTGATATCAGTCCCTCATTGACAAGGAGTTTCTTTTTAGAGCTACATTTTTTAAATCAAAGTCACTGTTGGAGTGAGAAATCAAATGTAGGACAGGTGCAGTTAGAAACCAATGTATACACCCACAGCAGCAGAAAAGAGGCCAGAGACATGTACTGTATTTAATAAAGAGGCACGACTCTCACTTTTTCTGAGCTTTCTCTCCTCCTGTGCCCTCACTGTCACCGTTGCACCGATAAACTCTTTCTCTGGGAATCCCTCAGGAGAATGTTTTCACCAAAACAGTAAATTACTACAGATAATCACAAAACTCCCTGGAACTTTAAGGTCACAGCCAGCTTCAACTTGGAGAGGAGGAGGAGAAGGAGAAGGGGGAGGAGGAGGGAGGAGGTTGTTGTTTCCAAGCCACATCTCTGGAGTCCCCCCATAATCACTGGCTAATGACAAGCTTCCTTTTTCTGGCGGGGAGGGGGGTTTATCTCTACATGATAGCTCCATCTACGCTGATCTGTAGGTACCTTTGTGTGTGTGTGTGTGTGTGTGTGTGTGTGTGTGTGTGTGTGTGTGTGTGTGTGTGTGGGAGTTGCCATCATAGAGAGCTGAGAGAGACATATTTCAACACATCTATGTATCTAATTTTCCACACTTTCTATTGCTGCAATACAATACAATAATATAGTATAATACAGGACATTTTTTTTTAAAACATTCTCAAGTTAAGCCACTAAAGATCCCTTAAGTCATCACACGGTTACGTTTTCTCATTGCTGCCAGTGAACGTCGATCATGCAACATTTGACCTAAATAGGGACTTAATAACCTCATTCTGGATGACCAGGCTGGATCAGCATCAGTTAATCCTAAATGCCACATCTGGGAACTGAGAGGCCCCCTATCCTCTCTCTGCTTCTCTGGGATAAACAGACCCGCGCTGAGAGATCTGAACTCTGAGCATCGACTCGTGTAAGATTAACTTTGGGCGTTTGGTTTGAATCCTTTGCTTTTTTGGTTTCAGTGTATACATGTAGTCCATCAAATGAAATGACCTACAATGTTAGGGCAAATTACAGGGAGATTTCTTGTTGAAGGTTGTATTTTCAGACAGCCATTACATTACATACAGGTTCATTTTGTACATAATGTGTTGCACAGAAGAGGAAAGACTCAGATCTCATTTTCTTGGAGTTGAAATAAGTGAACCTACCCACATTGTCACAAAAGAAAAGACCACTGAAGAAAGTAACTTTGCACATACACGTTACTGCGGACTGCTACTTGTTTTGAAGATTAAGAAACTACATATAAAACATAATAAACAATAAAATGTGATGCATTGTTATATTTATCTTAATTATACAACAGTATTAGTTAATATCAGCTCCAATGATATTCATGACACATATTATACATGTTTACCCCAGTACATTGTTTCTGTTTATCCCATATGTTTAAATAAATCATTTTAGAAAACAGTTGCTTTGGAAAGCAATGAAACAAACCCACTCTGTTGTTCAGTTATGAGGACTTGCCATATATATTGCTTGTGCCTGTATGCACCTCAAGTAAGTTAAAATAACATTCAAATATTGCTTACAGGTTGCATGAATGCATCGGCAATAACAACAATTTATGTCACTATAGTACAGAACTGACATACAATAATTTGAACACAGACAAAAACACTCAATTGAGTACTTTCATTTTGAAGTACATTTTGATGGTGATTGGAATATATTGCAGTGTGGAATTGCAATTTTTACTTGAAATAAAAGCAATGCTTCTTCCACCTCTGGAAACAGACCGGATGTTGCCCCCCCCAAAAGCCTCAAATGCAGCCAGAGGCTCATTTTTTACACTGGTGCCATAATGTGGAACTTATGTATTTGTGGAGAAAGAAGTTATTCATGGAACTGAATTTGCTGTTTGGGCTCATGACTTAAGTATTTCTACATCCACTGCTTGATTTTGTACATGCTCAAATAAGCCACATAAAACAATATATAGTGATTTACAATGAAAGGATCCAATACATCCTAAAATGGCTCTTAAACGAGCTTTATTCACCTATTCTGAAGTACCTTTGTCATGTTACTGGTGCACCGGTCCTGAGCCCCAGTTTGGGAACTACTCACCGGCTTATTTTATAGCTACAGAGGCCGACAAATGCTGTTGTCAATCAGTCTGTGGAGACGCACCTCCTTTCCAGTTGGGAGCGCACCGGGGCTTCGCATCTGGATTTTACGCGTCGGTCGGTCCACGCCTACAAGACTGCCCGCCTCCTCCGCCGCAGCCCGCACACTCTTCTGTGGGCTTCTCACGGACGGAGATCTGTCGCCCTCTCCCCCTTTACAGCTCCTTCAATCTGTCAAATCTCGTCTCTCTTTCCTTTCAATGGCCGTCCGTGGCGTGATTTGCATTCAGCAGCGCAATAGTTAATGAGTGCCGGATGCGCCCTCACTCCAGCAGACCGCTACAGTACGAAGATGGCGTCGGAGGGAGCCAGCGGGGAGCAGCCTCCTCCTGTACAAACACTGGCAACCGCGGTCCTGGGAAGTGTCGACACGGTAAGACATGAGGGTTAAAGAAAACACGAAAGCTACACGGGTGTTTTTTTTAGTCGGTGTGGCGGTGAAGAAGCCTCGGGGAAAGGAGGGAGAAATGCAGTGCGCATCTATTTCGCACAGGCTCGTGAAGCAACAGCGGTGGCCAGCGGGAGCCTCGCGACAGTGTCTGGAGAAAAACATGGGGTTTGTGTTCGTTTTAGGGTCGTAAATGACTCAGAAATGCTCTGCCGCGGCTCTCAAGAGGCCACTATGGTGTGTTTTCTTGAATTCTAACATTATAGTGAATTCTTTTGTTCGCCTCTACCGGCTGCTGTGAACATTCATCCCGCCGCTGTAACGTTATCCTGCGTCTGATCGCAGAGAAAGCGTCGCTGGCTACACAGGTTGGAGCTCATATATATATATATATATATATATATATATATATATATATATATATATATATATATATATATATATATATATATATATATACAGTAAATGGGTTAATACGCAGAGACTTCAAGCGGCTGCAGGAGAGAGAGAAATCTGAACATGGAAGATTTTTAAAGGCTGCTGGTTGGTTTTCTCCCAGCTAAAGGTGAAAACATTTTATTCCACCTTTTTCTTTAAATCTCTTATTTACATTTTCAGATGATATTCACCTGGCCTGCGGAGCTGGTTGTGGCATTAAAACATGTTTGTTTTAACTGAAGTGGTCCTCCACCAGTCAGTCCTACATGGATCCTCACAGGCTTCCATAGATTGTAACAGCTCACCTTTTTAAGAAGCTGTGAGTCCATCCACAGGTTTACACTGATTGTCAGACCAGAGGATTGACTCGAGGCAAAGTATTTCTCTAAAAGTAGCCCTTTGTTGTCACTAACTAGGTTTGAGCTTCACTTGTTTATACTCACCTAGTTGGGATTTCTCACACTTGCCCCTTCCCAGGTTGCAGCGTATCTGCCAGTGCACCAGCTGCCCACTTGTCTGTGCAGCTTGATCAATCTGTGGCCCCCGACCAACGGGAGGTCATGAAACCTTTCCCTTCTCTGTGCTGGCTCCATGATGCAACCTGTCAGAGTGTTATCGACAACTAATGCAAAAATAGGCAGGGGCGCTTTTGCCATATGAGGTTTTGTCCCTGCTCTGTTTTATTGAACTTTATTGAACCTTTGTACCACATCCAGTAAAATGGCCAAAAAAAAGCACTTTTTGGGATTTGAGATTGAAAAGGTAGGCTGGTGCAAATGTGTGGAATTGCTGGAATAGAAAGCAGCCATGGTCCCTGAGGTGGGTGGGTGGTAGTGTGGGTGTTGAGGTGGGGGTAGGTTTGAGCGGCAAGCTGAAGAGATAGTAGAGAAAAAGGTGGGAGAAGAGCTGCGGGGGTGGATGGAGGGCAGAGGCAGCCCGATGGAGGAGGGGGTGGAGGCCCTGTTCACCAGACACCTTTCTAAATTGGTCTTAATTTCAGTGACTCAGCTGGCATAGCTGGGAGTACCGTGTCAGCCAGCCCCCCTCTTCTGAGCGCGCTCAGAACTGCCTCGAGGTTACTTTACATTTAGCGTTGAGGTGAACAGGTGCTCCAGAGACATGGGAGCTGGGCAGCCTCCTCAGTTCACCCGTCGCTCTGCCAGCCACGCTCTTCCTTCCCCAGGCTCCAGCCAACGAGGGGGCTTCCGCCTCCGTGCCCTCCCACCCAACCCCCCCCTCCCAACAACCACCATCATGCCTGCCGTGGTTAAATAAAGCACTTTGCTCTTTGCTCACCCCTGTTAGACTCTCTGTTGTTGGCCTGAGGTGGGGGAAGTTTTTCGTTTGTGAGGACTCTGAAGGACCGGTCCTCATGGTCCAGAGAGGGGTCAGAGGTCAATGAAAATGGCACTCTACTGGTCACATCCCACCCATTTACCACAGTACACGTTATTGTGGCGCACATAGCGTGTTTACAGCCTGTTATGTCGAATCTAGGTCTTATTTTTGTGTTTTTGGGGATTTTGAGTCCAAGAGACAAAGATGAATGAGAATGGGGCTCGATAGTATTTTATCTAAAATAGCTATTGTCAGCTGTTAGCTGAGAAGGCAGAAACAGCTTCATTGTAGCTCATTTTCACAACCTGTTCCTACAACATGAAAATGAGATGGGGCAGCAAAATGTATGAAATGTTAATCAGTTAACAACTTCAGCCAATTGTACTTCACCAGCTACTTTACTTAATGGCAAATACTCCAGTTTTAGAGCTATTAAAGGACCAGTGTGTAGGGTTTAGTGGCAGCTAGTGGTGAATTAGCAGATTGCAAACAACTGAATACTGCATTCCTTCCAAGAGTAAAACTATGGTGGCCGTGAAACTTGCGAAAAACACAAAAGGCCCTATCTAGAGCCAGTGTTTGGTTTGTCCATTCTGGGCTACTGTAGAAACATTGTGGTTCAACATGGCGGCCTCCCTGGAAGTGGACCCGCTCCAGACTGGACCTTTTTAAATTGAGCAGATTAAAATGTTGATCTAATAGAACGAAAGTCTAACTGGGATTTAACTGCACTGGGATTGCTTCTTTGTCAGAATACAGACAAACTTTAATTTTAGCTGTTTATAGAATTAATGTTAACTATCTACAGCTGATCCAGCTGATCTGTCACCAGTTAGAGATACACATTATAGATTGTTTTCTGCTGATACGTTGCCGATAATGTCACATTTTTGTATTTGAAAAATAAGTTCATAACCTGTAGTTTTTAGACACCTGAGGGTGCAGATGTAGTGAGCAAATATGGATGATTTAATATCCAATAGCTCTGAGCCAACCCATCACTGTTGTTGACACAACAACAATAAGTTGAGTAAAACTGGTCTGATTGTCTGACTGCTTGTGTCCCTTATCCTGTTATACAGAAATTAAGTTCATGGGTAAAATGCTATCATTAACAAATAGCAATGTAGGGCAAAACTTCAAAAAAGCTTTGTTTAAAAAGCATAATTTTCTTTTTTTAAATGTTGTGCAGCTACCTGTTCAGCCTCATCTTCAGACCCTGCTTTATTTCCTGGCAGGACTATTGTGTAATGGAAGCCTGAGTGGGGTCAGCAGCGGTTATGTGGGATATGCTGCCATGCTGGAGCAGTTCCATTTAACATGACTGGTTGTGATATCATTGCTCCTTCTTCTTGACAACAAAATGTCTGTGCCCAGATACTGGGGGGTTTAAATGACCCTGTAAACAAGTTGGAGAGGTCATCAGAGAAGATTAAGTATAATTGTACCATCTATTAAAGGGCCAGTTCAATCAAATTACAGAAAACACACAAGTTCTTAATTACCATGCAGAATCAGTTTGTTTAATTTGTCCAGTTTTTGAGATATCTCTCTGATTAATGCTGCCATCCCAATACAATGGAGGTGCGTTAGGTTTTGTTTGTGTTGCTCCCAGCTGGAGTTGCATTTTGGTATGGTATTGGCTCTGATACTGACCCAATTAGGTGGATCAGGTATTGGCCATGATGTGACCATTCTGTTCATTCAGTCACAGCGGGCTTCAGTCCACAATCCCTGGTTTCATATTACCTGACTTAATAAATTATTCTAACGAGTCCCACACAGTGAGGTATTCACATTTTGTATGTGTTTTTTTGTCTCTGTAACTCTGTATAATCCACAGTAGAGCTCAAACAATTGGTTGATTTGTGAATTTTGATAATTGGTTAATCATTTAAATAATGTTTCGAACTAAGGTCCTCTTGTTTGAGCCTCTTAATTGGGGTGATTTGCAGTTGTCCTTTGTTTTATGTGATAGTAAGTGTTGAACACTTGCCACCCAACTTGGTGGGATTTTCCTCGTAACCATTGGTAACCCCTCACAGGCATCCATTTACAGGCTGTCAAATGACACAGTTTTGCGCTCGCAGTAACAGGATTTGTGTCTGTGAGAAACCTACAGGCCTAAGAATGCTTTTGCCAGCAGAACACAGTAGAGGAACTTGCACAGAGTGGGCACTTCCTTTCCCTTGTGGCTCAGAGTGAAATGACACAGGCCTCATTAGGTGGACCGAGGCTAACAGCGAGCCTCTGAGCGCCGGCCAGGCTGCTCGTGCCCTTGGCGCGCAGCACACGGCTCATGGAACAAATTAGTGTTCGCTTCCCTCACCTGCTCACTGTGCAGAAATGCCAGAGAGAAGCGGCCCCACACCCCCACCCTCACCCACCATCCGATGCCCCATGACAGGACAGCTCAGGGCTCAGGGTTGCCGTCCATCAAGGCTCCCTGAGTCGTCCAATTCTCTGAGTGGTGAAAATGCTGCCGGGAAAAAGGGGGCTCTGGGATCGATTGGAAGGCTCCATGCGAATGAATCAATCTCTTGGAATCCCTCCTTGCTTTTATTTCCAGGCTCGCTGTGATGGCATCGGGATAAAAACGTGGTTTGACTTAACTGAAACATGTGATTGACCTAACACTTTCCAGCTCCTTGTTCTGAAAAGAAGGTCCATATTAGAGTGAGAGGACACAAATCATCCATTGTTAAAACCTGAGTGATTTTTCAGCACCTGTCCTGAGAAGGCTTTATTGGCTAAAACATCCCAAACGCTTTTAAAGGAGAGAGTGTTGGCCTGTTTATTCATATGGATTAATAACATGTGTTCCCCTTGTTTTGAGCATGAACTTTTCCCCCATACTGGGAAATAAGCAATGTCACAGGACTCCGAGAAGGCAGCAGCTTGTTGAAATCTGTCTCACACCGGCATATTCAAA